TGGGGCATTAGCACGCCGAGAGCACAGGCACTGTCTTCCTTTGTGGCAGAGAATTTGACAAGGATGCGGTTAGAGCTTCCTTTGCAAGTATTTCCAGACAGTTAGGAACTGACATTGGTTCAATACCAATTAAGTGAAAGTGTTCCTGCAGCTTGTCCTCTTTAATAACAATGTGGAAGGAATAGGCCCACTTATAAGTCGCATCCCCAGTGTAATCTGCGATAGGTCAGGGAGAAGGTGGATGGTCGCCCATCAAACAACGTGGTACCCAGGTGCCATGATTTTTGTAAAATCACACCTTTCTCCTGAAATAGTGCACCCTGCAGAGAACGTCTCTCAAGAGCGTTCTGCCAGACATTTTAGGGTTTAGCACCCTATGGACACAGTACAGCTCAATTGCCACAGTGGGGGCACAATTTTTTATTTTTTTAAATTTTTATTAAAGATTGCTGTTACCTAGGCTGGGAGAACCACAATGGACATTGTCCTTTGGTATGCCTCTGGACCATATGTTTCTACTGCTGAGGTTTCTATGTCCTCCTCCGCTCGCAGTTGAAACTATGAAGTGGTAAGATGATGCTGCAACATAGCTTCCAGTGCCATGATTTGGGTCGCATGTGTAGCTTGGGAGGATTCCAGGGTAGAGACCCGTGTGTCAGTAGCTGCAGTTCGGTGTCTGATTTCACCCACCTCTCGTTTCGGAAAGGTTTCTATGCACAATGCCCAATGCTTCAGCTCAGTTTTAAAAGAGAGAGAAGCCAGGCTGCTCTGGATGTTTTTGAGCTCCGCCAACAGCACTGTGTCAGGCTGTGATACCTCAGATTCCTCTGATCTAGCTGGGGAAGCGAAGGCAGTCGTGCTACCCTTACCTCTGTCATTTGAGTGGGCACACTGGAGGAGTGGCTTCTGTCAGGGGAGCAGTGGTCTGTGTCTGTATAGCAGGATGTAGTAGGAGACGGCGTTGAAATCTCAGAAATCTTGTTTCTTTGATCTCAACATAAGTTGGTCCCTTGACCTCAACTCTGTTGGATATCACTTAGGTTTTGTAGGAACCTCTGGGAAGGTTTGAGAGTCCTCCCTGTGTCAAGACATGTGACCTGGTCTCTACACTGAATGAAATGGACAATACTTAACTGCATGGTCTCCCTTATATATGTTCCTTTGAGAGAGAGAGGGTGCAACTCAATTCCTGCAGGAAGAGACCATGTGCCAGAGGACCCTGTTTTTTCCTGCTTGAGGGTATACTCTTTTGTGGATAGGGCCCTTTGGTACCCGAACCCCTCAAGTTTGGTCTATTCTCTATAGCTGGTTTGAGGTTTCTCCTGACCTATTTCTTGGTTCTGACTCTTTCATCCCTCTCCCTTAGTCAGGTTAACTTTAGGGTTGGTACCCCTGAGCTGTTTCCAGTTCAAGGGAATTTTTGCTCATCTTTTATAATATTACACTGTGAGGTTTATCTCTCCCCCTAGATATCTTATGTGAGAGGGTTGTCTGGTTCTTATCCTAGTATTGTCCATCCCTTTTTCCAAGAGATGGGTGTGTAAAATTTGGCCCTTTCATTGAAGACTAGCTGCTCTCCTTTTGTGGACCTGTTTTGTCCATGGTTCTCTCTGGCAACTTGTTCTGCTGGGGTTTGACCCAGAGTTGTTTATTGTTGACCGTATTACGCTGTTTGTATATTTTTGTTTTTATTTTGTCAGGCAGTTGTCTTGTTTCGCATGTTTTTGGTGGTGTTTTCATTTATAGCTTCTTCCGGCATGAGCTCAGTGTCTGCTCTCAATGGATGGCATGTCACGAGAGCTGTGATGCGAAGTGACATCATTGTGGTTTCGGTCATTCAAAAGACCAGAGCCCTTGAAACCGTAAGACCGTCAGTGGTGACAGTGCACCGCTGGAGGGCATTGTTTTAAGGTAAATCTGTCATAATGCTAGCATACAGTGCGTTCTCTGCATTAAGGAGAAAATCGTTTCAAGACTAGCTCTCCCCAGCCCTCATAAATACTTAACTGAGCCTGATCTTGATCCAGCGCTGTGCCAGAGAACAGCATCACTGTTTTCTCTCTCCTTGCTGGACAGTGAGGCAGCAGCAGGAACCATTGGCTTCTACTGCTGTCAAACGGATTCAGTGAGGAAGGGGGCACACAGAGCCTAGCTCCGGAGTGAGCCCACACATTGCTTGCTATGGGGCAGACAATGAAGAGAGGGAATGGACAACACTGGTGGGAGAACCCGAGAAGGAGGAGGTTTGGGGCCGCTCTGTGCAATAGCATTGCACAGAGCAAGTAAGGATAAAATTTTTTTGTTGTTTTAATTTTAATATTCAGTAATGCTTAAAGGGGGACAGTTTCTGGTTTCCTCTGGTTCTGGTAATGGCTGTTGACCATCTCTCAGATGTGCTGCTTTTGGAAAGCTGTTCCTGAATTCCTGTGTCCCTCAATGGATAGTGTACATTGAAGGACACGGGTCCTGTCCCTCTGTTTTTTATTGACCCTATGTACTGCTTACTAACAAAACTGAGGCATGTTGGTAGAGGAAAATTTTTCTGTTTGTTTTTCCTACCTCCTGTAGGCAGACGTGTAACCCAAACGTTTCCCTGTGTTACTCAATGTACTAGAGAAAAGAGACTTTATGGTAGTATAAAAAATGTATTATTCTAATATTGCTGAATGAATTGTGCTGTGTACAAATATTATTTGTTTCACATTTGGTATTTGCTGCTTGTTTGACAATTTTCAGAGAATGGGAGAGGAGCCCAGACAAATCTGGTATATAGGAGAAACACATTGGCTCTACAATTGACAGCAAATAAGCATGAGGAGGAGAAGACTTTGAATACTTTAATGTTAATTAAATTTTTTTTTCTAATGGCAGTTATTTGAAAGATGGGTTTTTATTGATCCCATCATGTTTTTATGTAACTTTCCTGGTAGGATTAGAAAGCTGAACAGAATTGAAAAGTAAGTTCTGTTGACCTGCTGCTTCTGGATTCAAGATATTCTTAAAAGATACATTTAGAGTGTATGTTCATCCAAAACTTTTGTTTTAGTATGGAATTGAATGAGAAAGGCTATGAATTTTACTGCTATCCATGGATCCATTAGTAAAATGTTTCCCTTTCTTTACTGTCCCAGGAACAGACAGCACAGACAGAAATAAAATTCTCTTTTTAGTAGAGTAGGGGGAGGGGATAACCCCTATCCGCTTTTTATTTATTTGTTCCTGTTGCAGATTTTCCTTTTGCTTCTGGCCCAGTGATTTCATTGTCACTGTGATGGAAAGTAAGGAAAAATCTCTCTAACAGTCTCCTGGATAGCAGTTAAAACCTACCTACACAAAGTTTTGGCTGGACATACACTTAACATAATGCATGTATGAAGGTAAGCCTTCAACAGAAAGATGTGGTAGACTCCAAGAACCTACTCATTCTTATCCAACACCCACAGCAACATTGAATGCACACTCATTGCAGTGTGTAGACAGTGAAATAACCCTTCTCTTTTTATATTATGAGTTAAGGGATGACTGTTCTTTTTTAGGATTGTCCATAAAGTTTGAGAATCATTTTAACTGACACCACCTTATGTATCTGGCGCACTTCTTACCATACACTACCTGATAGTGACCAGTAGTCCTGGAATCCACCTCAGCACTCACTGCCAGTTGCAGTCACATACCTGTTCAGTGGATGGTTAGTTTAAAGGATAAGTTCACCTTTCGTTCACATATTCAGGGTGTAACCTGTTACTGTAGCACTTCGCCCATCTGTTGGTCTCTACCTAACACCTAGCCAAATAGCCAGCTCCTCAGCACTAGCTTTAGTGGCCATACCCAGACCCCGCTGGACTCTACATGTGGAGCTAGCCTGAAATGTGTCCTTTGGTCACTTGACCCTGCATTTTGGTTCTTTTTTCACCTTAGTGTACTGTTAACTTTGTGTCCACAACAGTGGCACAGCCCCAATGGTGACTCTGTTTCTGAACATTTGCTTAGTAAGATTGATCAGACTGAAACACCACAAACTACCTCTCTATTTGCACCAAAAGGTGCTTTTTAGGTTTCTCACAATTGCAGCAAAGAGATCAACCACGGAAGTCAACCTGATGGGTGAAGTGCCACTCCCGCCATTCAGTTTGGAGGAAGTATCCTCCCTCTGCTGCTCCTGAAGCACCATATGAATCTCTGAAGCACCATATGAATCTCCTGAAGCACCATATGAATCACTATTGTGAACTTTAATGGCATCCTAGTCTTAGTCCGTATGGTTCAATATTGAGTTGGCCCACCCTTTGCAGCTATAACAGCTTCAACTCTTCTGGGAAGGCTGTCCACAAGGTTTAGGAGTGTGTCTATGGGAATGTTCGGCCATTCTTCCAGAAGCCCATTTGTGAGGTCAGGCACTAATGTCAGATGAGAAGACCTGGCTCTCAGTCTCCACTCTAATTCATCCCAAAGGTGTTCTATCGGGTTGAAGTCAGGACTCTGTGCAGGCCAATCAAGTTCCTCCACCCCAAACTCACTCATCTATGTCTTTATGGACCTTGCTTTGTTCATTGGTGTGCAGTCATGTTGGATCAGCAAGTTGCCATCCCCAACTGTTCCCACAAAGTTGGAAGCATGAAATTGTCGAAAATGTTTTGGTATGCTGACACCTTAAGAGTTCCCTTTACTGGAGCTAAGGGGCCAAGCCCAAACAACCCCACGCCATAATCCCCCCTCCACACTTTACACTTGGCACAATGCAGTCAGGCAAGTACTGTTCTCCTGACAACCACAAAACCCAGACACATTCATTAGATTGCCAGACAGAGAAGCGTGATTGGTCACTTCAGAGAACACGTCTCCACTGCTCTAGAGTCCTGTGGCCACTCGCTTTACACCACTGCACCTGACTGCATTGCACTTGGTGGTGTAAGGCTTGGATAGAGCTGCTTGGCAATGGAAACCCATTCCATGAAGCTCTCTATGCACTGTTGTTGTGCTAATCTGAAGGCCACATGATGTTTGGAGGTCTTTAGCTATTGACTGCAGACACTGTGCGCTTCAGCATGCGCTGACCCCGCTCTGTCATTTTGCGTGGCCTACCACTTTGTGGCTGAGTTGCTGTTTCCAGTTGCTTCCAATTTGTTATCATACCCATAACAGCTGGCCATGGAATATTTAGTAGCAAGGAAATTTCACAGATGAACTTATTGCACAGGTGGCAACCTATCACAGTACTACGCTTGAATTCACAGAGCTCCTGAAAGCGACCCATTCTTTCACAAATGATTGTAGAAGCAGTCTGCATGCTTAGGTGCTTGATTTTATACACGTTCTTACGTTCCTAACACATTACGCTGTCCAGTTTTTCCCCATTGAGATCTGATGTGTTTTCAAAGTGTTGTGTTGCAGCCATATACTACAGTTGTTTAATTTCTTTTCTCATTAATCTTCACTCAGTAGTACCCCATAATGACAAAGTGAAAACAGAATTTTAGAAATATCACATTGGCATAAGTATTAACACACTTTGCAACAACATTTAAAATTTAGTTCAGGTGCATTCTATTTCTCTTATATCTCTCATTGCTGGGATGTTTCTACACCTTGATTGGAGTTCACCTTTGGTAAATTTTAATTGATTAGACATGATTCAAAAAGGCACACACCTTTCTATAAAAGGCCTCACAGATGACAATGCATACTGTATCAAAGCAGAAGCCATTGAGGTCAAAGGAACTGCCTGCAGATCTCAAAGACAGGATTATTGCAAGGGACAGATCTGGGGAAGGCTACAAAAAGGTTGTGCTGCACTCAAGGTTCTCGAGCACAGTCACCTCACTAGTTCTCAAATGGAAGAAGTTTGGCACAACCAGGACTCTTCCAAGAGCTGGTCACCTTGCCAAACTGAGCAATTGGGGGAGAAGAGCATTAGTAAGAGAGGTAACCAAGAACCCAATGGTCACTCTGACTGAGCTCCTGAGATCCTGTTGCAAACTCCAGAGAGAGTTTGAGTGACGGGCTAATGATGTCACAACTTCTGACCCAGCCAGTCAGTGGAAGCTTTGTGTTTATTGATAGAATACATTGCTTTCTCTGAATGGCTGAGTGCTGCTGTGATACTCTACTGTGCTCTGGGTCTGAGACTGGAAGTCTTGTCTCGCACCTGAAACACAGTACAGTATGCTGTATGTAGCCGCACATCCAGCGGCCTCACAGGTTAGTGGGGGACATAGTTTGTTTTGGCCAAGCTGGCCCAAAGGAACTATGTAAAGTATATCAAAAGGTGGAGATCACTTTTAATTGAACAATCTGAAGTTAGAAGCTGATTGGCTACCATGCACAGCTGCGCCAGATTTTACACTCTCCAGTTTTAGTAAAACAACTCCATTGCTTGGAGTTTCCATTTGTGGCACAGGGAATTGCAAGGACAAAGGATCTAAAAGGATCAACAGGTATTTTTCTGCACTTTCAGAAGATGTTTTTTTACCTGAAATGAAACTAATGCAGCCATTGTGACTGGTGAGCTGCACTATTTTTGTTCTTGGTTTTCGATATGTTTGAAGTGCATTATACAGTACACATTTCAAATATAACCATTGGTCTCAGTTGCACACATTGCCAAAATGTTAAATATTCGTGCCACTACAAGGCAGTTTTTTTTTTCTTAGGCTTGCTCTTTCCTATAAAGTGCCATAAGTGTAACATATGGGAATTCATTAAAGCGGTACTAAAACCAAAAAGCAAAAATGTAATATAATGCAACTTATTATTTATTTATTACAGATACTTATATAGCGCCGTCAATTTATGCAGCGCTTTACATATATATTGTACATTCACATCAGTCCCTAACCCTCAAGGGGCGTACAATCTACGGTCCCTAACTCACATTCATACTTACAAATACTAGGGCCAATTTAGACAGGATCCAATTAACCTACCAGCATGTCTTTGGAGTGTGGGAGGAAACCAGAGTACCCGGAGAAAACCCACACAGGCACAGGGAGAACATGCAAACTCCAGGCAGGAGGTGTCGTGGCTGGGATTCGAACCAACGACCCTAGTACTGCCAGGCAGAAGTGCTAACCATTTAGCATTTGTGCTTACCAATCGTTAGATGTGGTGGCTGCATCATTTTTCTTTTTTTCTCTGGATTTTTTCCCTCTGTTTTCACCTGGCGATTTGGCCAGTAACAGACCCATATTAGATTGCCCCCACTCTCAATGAAGCACAGAGGCACATTTGGACAGCAGCATTGTCAGTCTGGAGGGGAGGGAAGTGTTAGATGTACTAGCAGTTCACATGCAGTTACAGCATCAGTTTTTTTTTTTTTTCTTTTGGGATAAAGGTTTTACATAAATAAAAGCTGATTGTTGTAAGCAGCCGTTAGTGGTAAATGGGTCTCAACACTCAAACTGCTACGTTTGCAGGGAAGCTTGTTCTGTTAAAAAGCAACAGATTTACTGGCTGGATAACCAGATGAAAATGGAGGAAAGAAAGCCTAAAAAATAAAACTAATGTAGCCTTCACATCTAAGAATTGGTAAGCTGCAATATAATAAGTATTTCGTTTGGGGTTTAATACGGCCTTAACCACTTTACCACCGTGCTATAGCCGAATGATGGCTACAGCACAGTAGTCCAGTTCTGGGAGGGCATCATTTGACATCCTCCCAGAATGCGCCCCCAGCTGTGCACACCCGACACTGTGATTACTGTGTCTTTTGGACACAGCTGATCACATGACATGGTAAAAGGCCAATCACAGTGGCCTTTTGCCACATGAACGGCTGTGTCCAATCACAGCTGACCACTATGTAAATATGCTTGCCTGTTATCGGCAGTACTTTCCCACTGTCACAGCGTGAGGAAAGTACTGCTGTTAACTGGCAACTGTCAAAGCAGACATCTGCACTAATGATCAGTGCCCTGATTATCAGTGCAGCCCCAGAAGTGCCCAACAGTGTTGCCAATCTGTGCCAGTCAGTGCTACCTATTAGTGTGCTGCAGTGCTGCCTATTGGTATCCATCATTGCCACATATCAGTGCCTCCTCATCAATGCCCACCAGTGATGCCTATCAGTTCAGCCTCATCAATGCACATCAGTGAAGGAGAAAAATGACCTGTTTGCAAAATTTTATAATAGAAACAAAGAAAACTTTTTTTTCTTCAAAAATTTCACTCTATTTTTTTGTTTATAGTGCAAAAAATAAAACACCCAGCGGTGATTAAATACCACCAAAAGAAAGCTCTATTTGTGCGATGATTTCATATGAGTACAGTGTTGCATGACTGCGCAATTGTCATTCAAAGTGTGACAGCACCGAAAATTGGTCGGGCCAGAAGGGGGTAAAAGTGCCCAGTAGGCAAGTGGTTTAAACAGACCTATGTGAAGGCTACCTAAATTATTCTTATGGTACATACACAGGAGACTTGCTCAGATCTGCTGAAGACTTCTCGTATCCAGCAAATACAACAAACAGAAAGATATGGCAGCCACTCAATCCATGCAGGTGCAAATAGTGCATATTGTAATTTTTTTCTGGTTTTGCAAACTACGTACGATGCTGGTAAATCTGCCTGCATTTGTAGTGTGATGATCTTTTCTTTGCAGCAACTGAGACTCCAGGAGGTCTACAGCTGCTATGAAGAAATCTGAACCTCTTCGGTGAAAATATTGTTCTGGGTTAGGGTAACCTTGTTTATATGGAAATGTTCTTAGAAATAAGCAATTGCAGAACAGTCCCATATACACCAACTGGGCAATTAAATAGTATGCACTAAAAAAAAGTGGATGTGCTTGTCAGGAGAACATGAGATCTTGAAAATCTGATCTTCTGGTTCTGATGCTCAGGTCTTCACATGAATATCTTGTGTTAGTAAGTCAAAGTGGGAGTGTATTATCATACATAAATCAATGATTGTTAGCTAAAATAAATGCATACATTGGTTGTTATCCAAATTCCAGTGTTTTGTGAATTTTCCCTAAGTGGTCTTGCTAATTGTGCAGACGAGTATGCACTATTGTACAAACAGACCTAATTTCTCTCTTGCTTCAGGTCTCGGACTGCCAGGGGTTAAGCTTTTTGCTGCTCAGTCCTTGTGCCTGCCTTTCCATTCACCTCACTAAATTGAGAAGCCGATCAGCAGGAGAGGCGTCACCGTACTGAATAAGGTCTCACTGCAGCGCGTCACCAATCAGAAATGTGGGATTTGTCTTTGTGATTTATAATTACCATGCTGAAGATTTGGATGGTCATTCTGTTCTCTTTCTGTTTTGTTTCTTGTCACCCTTAATCACTGGAAGTCTAGTCTTTTATAGCAAGATGATTTTTTTCGGAGTCCAGTTGTCTGTATTGTATGCATAAATTATCTGTGAAATCATTCTAGTATGTAGAGAGGCGGCAGCCTTTTTCCATTTTTGTCATTTATAAGCATACAGAGGCAGCATGCATTTTAATTTAAAGGCACAATAGAATTCTTACCATCAGGCATCTGTAGCCCATCCCTCTAATAACAATATAGAACAATAACATTTTCAATGCCACTGCTGGATATATACACCATTTTGTTCAATTTATCTTTTTTTTTTTTTTATTAATACCATAATCATATACCTGCTTCTTGAGCTCAAATCATCTTCAGGACCGATAATTGTGATCACCCTAATCCCTGTAGGACATGCAGGTATAAATGTTCCGAGCATTAAATATATACATATATGTATATAACACACACTATTTGCCTGCTAACGTAATTGTATGACGTTCAACACTGTCTAATTGCTGTCATGCTTTTCTCACAAACATGAAAACTTTTTTAAACATAAATAGATTTAATAATTGTGTGTATTAAAATACATGCATAATCAGTATTTCTGAATGTTGATGTATTTTCCTTTAATGCAAGTACTTTTTGGGAAAAAATTCTAATATACATTGCAGAATATGCTACTTTGTATATTCAGGCCGTATGCAAGAAGACTTGCCAGTAAAGCTGAAAATTATGCAAACCGTATTACAATGCCATTATGGCTACCGCATAAATAATTAATATTACATGTATATTTACCTCGGCTCTTCTTTTCAGACGGTCTTAGCTTAGTACAGTTTCTTATCCATATTCTGAATTTAGTGACTTGGATGAATGATTGCCCTTGATGACTATCTTATTCTTGTGGCTGGAATAATGAGGGTAAATATGATAAGCAGTTGTCAATAATAAAGCAGGACTATAGGAAGAAGGCTTCAGGCCTTCTGCTAGGCAGAATGAAACAGCAGATTTGAGTATCACGATCTCCCCAGTATTACATTTTCTGTAAAAAATAAA